GTGGCCGGGAGCGGCCACTGCACTCCAGTCTGGGTGACAGAGTGAGACTCCAACTCAAAAAAAAAAAACAAAAAAACACCTAAAATTGAGAACTCCTGCTGCCTTGTAATGGCAGCTCTTTCTTTTCTTCTTTCTCCTCTATTTCCTCTCTCTCTCCGGCTGACATCTCCCAACTTCCTCTGTGCTTGGTTTCTTTAGTTAGAAGGAGCTCTGTCTGTGGTATTACAGTCATACCAAAGAGCCAAGGAAAGACTCCTGTCCCCAAGTCAACACCGTCACAAGGTACCACAGCCGGGTCACAGGGACAATGGGGAGAAGAAATCTCTAGAACTCAGAGCCAAGTCTTTAGCAATTGGCTGGCTGTTCCTCTGTCTTTAATAGCCAGATATGAAAAGATGAAATTTGTTTTCTGTTTCTCATGTGTGCTTTTTATTTTGTTCTTGAGTCAAGGTCCTCTGTCACCCAGCTTAGAGTGTAGTGACATTATCACAGCTCACTGCAGCCTTGACCTCCTGGGCTCAGGCAGTCTTCCTGCCTCAGTCTCCCAAGTAAGCTGAGACTACAGGGGTGTGCAACTATGTTCAGCTAATTTTTTTATTTTTTTAGAGATGAGGTCTCACTATGTTGCCAAGCCTGGTCTTAAACTCCTAGGCTCAAGTAATCCTCCCATCTTGGCCTCCCAAAGTGTAGGGATTACATGCATGAGCCACTGCACTCTGCCAAGACGAATATCTTAAAGTCACTTTCTGGACTTTCACGTGGCTTATAGCAGTGATCTCTGCCATGAAAACTCCCATTCCTTTGTCCTGTGAGATGTCTATAGAGTGTCAGGTGGAGGGTGGTGGGAATTGGGAGGTGTACAGGTAGGCAAAGTCATCAGTGACATCAGAGAAGCAACTGTTGGGTCTATTTTTACTTTTTTAAAAATTTAGACTTCAGAAACTATGGAGAGTATATAATGCTATTTTTGATGTATTATTCTTAGTTCAAATTCAGCCTTATGCATTAAAGAAGAGGAAGTGTGTTTTGGATATGTTCTAAGGCAGAGACTTCCAAATCATCTCTACATTGCTGTGAGTATATCATGAAGTTAGTTTGCAGCATAAGCTTGCCTTTCTGTTTCTGCTGTATAAATTGGGATTATAAAATAAATTTACAAAATGCCCTTTGAATATGCTGTGTGACTATGTTCCCTTCCTAGGCTTCCTGTTTCTGTCTTGCAAGATTCATGCTGAAAGATGTCTTCCTTGGATGCAGAGTCGTTTATCAAGCATTTATTAAGAGCTTCACACCCTAGGCACTATGCTACTAGGTGCCAAAGTTATATCCAAGAAGAGAACAGACACAGCTTCCAGCCCTCATGGCCTTACAAACTAGTGAAAGATATGGACAATAGGCTCAAGTACATTCAGTGCTGTAACAGGGGCAGCACTTCCAGGATGCTGCAGGGACAAACAGAAAGAACAGCAAACTGTGACTTAGTAGATCATGGAAGCTTTCTTGGAGGAAGTGATGTTGAGGCTGAGAGCTGAGGGATAGGCAGAAGTTAGCTAGGCCACAGGAGCAGTACAGCAGGGAAGAGAATTTCAGGCAGAGAACAGGATGTACCCTCTCTGGGGTATTTGGATATATTTGACAACTAAAGCAAGCATTTAATTATTTTTGTTTTTAGAATTGTCTGTTTAGTGCTTATAATTTCCTAGCACATCTGTGCAAACTAGAGTGAAGAAATACCCTGGACCAGGGTTTCCAAAGTATGTGCTGGTTCTTCAGTTCTGGAAGGGCTGCAAACTTCCAATGTGACTTTTTTAGTGTTATTTTATATTTAAAAAATAAAAATGTTTATTTTAGTGTAGTTTTAGATTGTTATTTGGTTTTTACCTTTAAATTTTAAAATAAGTTCAAACTTACAAAAAAGTTGAAAGAAAAGTGTAATCCCTCCAAAATCTCATATATCCTTTACTCAAACAATTGCTAACATTTTGCTACATTTACATATATATCTACCTATATATGTCTACACATCTTCTTTCCTCCTCCTCCTCTTCCTCCTTTGCTTCTTCTTTTCATCATCATCACTATTGTTGTTGCTGTTGTTATTTTTGTCAAGTCATTTGAGACATCATGCCTTTTACTCCTAAACTGCTTTAGCAGGTATCTGCTAAGAGCAAGGACATTATCTTACAGAACCCCAGTACAATGATCGAATTCAGGAAAACAACATTGATACACTATTACTTAGTATACAGTCTGTATTTGAATTTCACCAGTTGTCCTAATAATATCCTTTACATTTTCCTGGCTGGAGTTCCAGTCCAGGATCACACATTGCCTTTAATTGTGATGTCTCTTTGGTCTCCTTTCATCTGGTCCATTTGTGCCTCTGCCTCTCTGTCTTTCATGTCACTGATATTTTTTAAGAGTACATACAGATCAACTGCTTTGTAGGAAGCCCTTTACTTTGGGTTTGTTTAATATTTCTTCATGGTTAGATTCCACTTATGTATTTTTAGCAGGTAAGTGCTAAATAAAAATAAAATGCTGTACAAGTAACAAATTACCACTTAGCCATGTGAATCAGGATTTTCTTGATACTCTACAATCAAAACAACACAGAAAAGTAAATTGGAATCTGGAGGCTGATTTAAGACAATGGTAAACCCCATTGTACAGGTTTGCATTCATTAAAATATCCTCAATACCTGATTCTATACTAATTTGGACTTATAAATAAATTAATAAAATACCCTTTGCATATGTTGTATATGTGTTTTATATGTTGGGCTCCTACATAAGATGTTGATTAAAACTAGAGTCTCTTACTTTGGCCATTTGAAAACCACATTGTCAGCCGGGTTCGGTGGCTCAGCCTGTAATCCCGCGCCTTTGGGAGGCTGAGGTGAGTGGATTGCCTGAGCCCGTGGGTTTGAGACCCGCCTGGGCAGCGAGACCTCATCTCTACAATAAATAAAAAAATCAGCCAGGCATGGTAGCGCATGCCTGTAATTTCGGCTACTTGGAAGAATGAGGCGGAAGGATTGCCGGAGCCCAGCAGATTGAGGCTGCAGTCGCCGGGAGTGGCCACTGCACTCCAGTCTGTGTGACAGAGTGAGACTCCAACTCAAAAAAAAAAAGAAAACCACATTGTCTCCCACTATAGCTCCTACCCACTGTACAATTTCCACAACCCTCTCATCATCTGCAGGCCTTGATGTTTCTTTTCCTAGTATCTGCAATTTTGCCCTAATTTTCAACAGTCCCAGGGCTCAGGGAACACACATATATCATTTACCGATGGGTTTTGGGATGTGGTCCCTGGATGCTTCAAAGTAGAAAAAATTTGAGATTTCTTTTTTTTGTTTTTGAAATTCAGTTCTGTTTCTGTTAAAACATACCAGTACAAACATTTTAGGAATACAGTCATACTCTATGCAGTCACCTGCTTAGCCACTGACTGACCTACACAAATGACCCAAACATAGGACAGTCCTACCTTATTCCAGAGCACTTATTCCACAAATGAGAACACTGAGATCTAGACAGGTGTCTTCTGAAGAAGGAGAGCTGCTAAAGAGCTGCTAATGGTAGGCAGATGCAGCCCAACTTTGCCTGTGCCAGGGGTTGGGGTGGCTTTCTGATGGCAGAGGCGCTCCCTTGGGAGGTGACCAAGCCACTTTCCTCTCTCTCAGCAAGTGTGGACTGCTGGCAGCTGAAGCAGGCCTCAGGTAAGGTCTTTCAGTCTGGTTTAGTCATCTCCAATTCAGCCACAGAGCTGAAGCCCAGCCAGGTCCTTGGAGGCCTCTAGATTTCCTTATAGATTTTGCAATAGAAGATTGTCCTAATAGAAACACAGGACTGAAGAGATGTGGGTGCCTTAGAAAGTCATTTATAATATATTTTCACTGAGAAAATACATTCTAAATTATAAAAACAATTTTCAAGATCAACCATTGTATTAATAAATTGGAGACTGCTTACAATTCATTGCATTCCATTGAACCGGTATGGATTTCATGTTTTCATGCTCAAGGTAGCACAGTGGCTACTTGGTAGATGCCAGAGAGATATCAAGACTCTTGGGACACGATTCCATGCTCAAGAAACCTACAATAGTCCTGGAGAGAGATATATCAAAAATGTAATGATTATATGAGGTAATGTCTGATGGCACGCTCAGATGAGTGGAAGAGAAAATGGACTGCATGGAGACAGTTGGACAGGTGATTGAACGCCGGGGCACCTAAGTCAAACGACCTGCGCGAAATTGCAGCTGCTCCTCTTCCTAGCCATGCTGCAAGACAGTTACGTTCTCGAGGCGCACAGAACAGCTCTGGGCATTTTTGGTGTCCTTAAAACGGTTAGTTATTATTATTACCTTTCAGTCTGTGCTTGAATCACCACTTCAAGGATGGGTAGGACGTGAACGAGGAGAAGGGAAGGGTGACAAAATCATCCTCGCGAAAGGTTCCGCACACTCATTACCTTTGTAACTTTGTTGGCACCGGTCGAGCCTGGGCGACAGGCGGCAATCCTGGAAACTCGACTCCGCGCAGCCTCTTACGTCTGCGGCTCCCGCCGCCCGCGATGC